TGAGGAGGGAGAGAGACAGGATGGGTGTCAGGGAGAGCCAGCGCACCGGTGTGTCCTGGGGTGCTGCATCCCTGGGCTGCAGCCCTGCTTACCTGCATGGCAAAGTGCTGGTGCTGCTGGACCGGCTCTCCGGGGTGGGGCTCAGGCACTCGTGGAGAGCCATACAGTTTTGTGGGATCCGATCCACGCAGAGGACCAAACGTTCCTGGCACGGCTGGTCTCTGGAGAATGGGGAGGAGTGCAGGAGGGAGAAATAAAACAATTTGTGAAGCACAGAAAAGCAGCCAAAGTACTGCAGCTGAGGGGAAGCTAAGGCTGGAGGAACGACACAGATGAGCAGACAGACTTTTTTAGCGATACCATGGAAAACCTGTAGACTTCTGTGAGGTGACATAGCTCCCTGGCCAAAGTCACTCTCTCATATCCTGGCCCCTGTGCTTAAGGTTGCAACACATTCACCTGTCACTCAAGTATTTGGGAACAAGCAAGAAGACTGGAGGGGGCAGTGGTTCACTCCAAGAAGAGGAGCAGACCTCAAGGGGATGGAAGCAGGAAGATAACCAGGGAATGTGCTGAATTTCCTTCAAAATACTCGATGCTCCCAGCTGTCCTACTGCCTCCCACTACCTGCATCACAAGAATCGCTCTTGAAATTGTTTGATCTCTAGGTAAAAGGGTGAGGGATAGCCTGGATCTCAGAGAGTAGCTGACACATAACCACACCACAAGACATCACTGGTTAAAATGGAAAAGGCAGTGAAGGATGGGTGAGGAACAGCCCAGAGGGGAGGCAGAACAGGTGACATTCAGAGAAGAAATGTTGTGCTAAAGGTAGGTCACTGCTGCAGTTCAGGGTGGCCTTTGTTTGATTCAGTTTACTGCTTTTATACTCAAGGCACGAAAAGCAGTAGTACACAGATGGCACAAAGTTACCAGGCATCTGTAAGCAATTGAGACAAAAGAAGACCAGCTTGTTCAGCTTCATAAACTGGAGGTTAGGAGAGGAAATGTGACAGCTCCCCATGCACAATGGGGCAACTCTTCCAGGAGATAAGAGAACTGGGGGAACCAGGGCTGGTGCGAGCCTACGTGGGGACATGCTGGCCATGTGATGTGAGGAGATTCTTCCCAGGTAGTGTGGCAAGATTGAAACTGGACCAGTTTAAATCTAAGGGCTGAAGAGTTTCGCTCGGAGAAACCAAGGTCCTGACCTGTTATCTCAGGGAAAAGGTTCTTACCATGCAGTATGGATTTCACAGTAAAAAGTTGAGCTCCCCTTTACCTCCCTCCACAGATGTGATGGGTGAAGAACAGCAGAAATGGCTCCTTACCATCTGGCCAGGATGTGGCACAGGGCTGGGCATGCCGCCGTACTGCAGTGAGCGCGGGAAGCCTCGCCCATTGGAAGGACCCATGTCTCGAGTCGTCTGCATTGGGTTGCCACTCGGGTCCTCTACTGAGGACGAGGAGAAGGAGGAGGAAGAGGAAGAGGAGGAAGAAGCAGGAGCCCTGGAAGTGGCTCGATAGGGTGGAGGCTTTCCTCCATTTTCCAGGCGTTGCTGTCTCTTGCCTGGTCCATCTGGGTCTCGTGACCTAGTCCAAACACTGCCTGTGCTGGAGCGGCTGGTCCGACGGCTCCTCTTCTCTCTTCTCCCATCTTCTCTGATCCAAAACTCTTCATCTGTGTCTCCATCTTCCCCAGGGAAGTGCTTCATCATTGCTCGGTGGAAACACCTCTCTAAGTTGTAAGCCATCTTGGTGTATTCTGCAGCCAAAAAAAACCCAACAACATCTGGGACAGAGCCTCAGAGAGAGAAACAATTATGCAACATCAGATTTTTCCCATCAGAAAAATCGTCTCCCCTCTGCCAAGTTTCTTTGAGGAAGATTTTTTTTTTCTAACTAGTTGGCTTTGGTTTATGTTCCTAAACTCCATAAGCAACACAGCATCAGATGTGTTCAGTAGCCCCAGCAGAGGACAGGCACACAGGCATGACAAAGTGCCATTAGCAGCATGACCTGCAGAGTCAGCACTAACTCAAGTGTTCCAGCATAGTGCCAAGAATTACATTAGCAGGAGCAGCACCTCTGCTCGCAGAGATGTGACCTGCACAGTTAGCCAGCAGAGTGCTCAGAGAAGAGATGTGAACTTCCAGCAATGCTATTTGATTACATTCAGAGGATTTTCTTGGACTGGTTCAAATCTCTGCTGTAGGCCACAAGACAGAGGAAAATCAGCAAACACATTTATCCATGTACAGTTTCTAAAGCACTTGCTGACCCTGACATGAAAGCTATTGCCAACACCAGCATCTCCACTGCATCATTTTCACAGGACAGTTCTGCTTAGATGGGCTTCTACTTTCTATTCAGTGCATAGGAAGGAAAAGACATTTGAGAAGTGTTAATGACGAGGCCTTGAAGCAAGTGACTTTCCAAGTTGTTTCCACTAAACTAACCCTGAAGTTCCTTGGGGAACACAGCTCTCCCAGTGGCAGTGCAGGCATGCTTTTACTTGTGGCCAACAGCAACAAGCTTATTAGTTCTTAACTGTCTTCCCTTTCAAGGCATTGCTAGTGAGACACGGTCTGCAGTGATGGCCCATCACATGGGAACCAATTTATTATCTAAGCAACATGTAGAATTTTAATTGGCATGGCAATTAAACCCAGGGTTTCCCATTTGCAGAGTCATGTTCTTCATTCAATGGCCAAGAAAAATAAAAACTACATTGTCCATGCAAAGGACTATGAGCCTGGATCATCCCTCACTTTTCTGCAGTACTCAGCGAACACTGGGAGCTAACCAGACTCCAATGCTTTTCAAAGTCTGGGTTAGTTATTATGAGAAAAAGGAACATGCAGGCACACACAAGCACATGAAGGGAGGAGTTTCTTCTCTTCGTATGTTCTGCCTTCACCACCTATCAAGCACAGCAGTCCTAGTGTGCCGTGCCGCAATTCAGTATAACCACATTGTGCCAAAAGCCTCACTAAGGCCCCAGGCCTTATTACTCAGAAACTCCCACTTTTTCATCTGGTCTCCCAAAAATACCCTGAAAGAGAAGCACAAATCAAGTACTGGTGAGAGGGAAGAGATCACTGCTTGCTTTGACTGAGCACTGCAAATAGACAAATTTAGCATCTTACTGCTCTTACCACTGCCTTCACCATTGTACTTAAGACAGTTCCTGAACATGGTCTTCATATCGCCCACAAATTCTTCCTTGGTGCAGTACTGACCTCCATTCAACTTCTTCTCCATGCTAGAGATATCCATGGGGGCCTGAAATACAACCAAACCTCCCTTCAGTTACAGCAAGCATAGTGGAGCTCACAAAGTTGCAGCTCTCCAGAGAGGCTGCCTCTCATCTTTGGTTTCCTTGACTTGTAAGGCTAGAAGGGACCATTGGAGTCATGCAGTTTGACTGGGAGAGTAATATAGCTCACAAAACTTCAAAACACTTCCAAAAAAACTGTATCCCAGTCAACAAAGTGCATTAGTCAAGATGGCTGGACCACTTTCCATACCTTAATGATCTGGTAGTAGTTGGGAGCATATGATTCATCCACAGGCTCCAAGAAGGGCCAAGAGTCCTTGTGAGCCTTCACCACATCTAGAACTGGTAGGAGCAAAAGAAAGGTGAATGGTTACACACACACAGGCAAAGGGGAGTATTTGACTTTGAGCAAGTCATACAAAGGGGAAAGCTCGGGTAGGACTAACCTTTGTACATTGCTGTGAACTCATCATCCAGTTCAAAGCTGTAATGGGAAGCACCACAGTGAATATGCAGACTGAGGACATGTAAGACATGCTCTTGTACTTCATCTTCCCTTCCACCCATGCACAGAGCCGTAATGCCGACAAATAGGCCTCATCACAAGCACTCCTCTCATGTGGACCAAATCCAGAGGTTTCTCAGCTTACTTCTTGCTGTTCTCCAACCTCACTTCTCCCTCCTCATTCCTGCAAATGAACGCACTCCTCCCCTTGCCATACTCACTACTTCAATGCACTCGCATGCTGCAACCTCCAGGTGCATACTCACATATCCTTGGTCCTTCGCTCTTCCCTGGTAGGGGAACTGGGATCCAAGTGGGAAAGCTCAGGGGGGAGCTCCTTCCCTTGTGCCAGCAGCCAGGCCCGCTCTTCACGGAGTTTCCTCCTCCTGGCCCGTTCTGCAGTGGAAAGAGGTGAAAAACCACTCAGCATCCCTTGTCAACATCTTAGAGGGAAAAAGAAGGCAGCTCCAGCAGCTCTCAAGAAGTCCAGCAAGATCGTCTTGTGCTTTCAGCAAAAGCAGCAATGCACAGGAGCAGGTGAGGTGAGAATACAGTGCACCATTAACATGCCTCTTCATTCTCCCTTGGTTTACCATCACTGATTTTGAAGCACTGCTGTGGCACAGATACTCCCCTAGGCAGCTTTCTGATGTGGTGTGGTACAAAGAGAGAAGCTCAATGCCCACACCCAGGCATAGGTCAGCACTATAGAAAAGAGCTGGTTTGTTGTTACAGAATCACAGAATCAGATTGGAAGGGACCACAGTGGGTCATCTGGTGTTACCTTCCTTTAGGTGAACTGAGGGCAGCTGGTTTTACACTGAATGGGATGAAGAGCAGTGCTGAGGGAAGGGTGAAGTTCTACTAGCTGAGTGGCAGTGAGTAACTGGAGTCATGACTATCCTCCATGACCACGGCTCGCTTTGCGAAGGTTGCTCAGGTAGGTCTTCATGGCCAGCAGGCAGAGCAAGCAAGCTGCCACACAGGAGGGCCACTGGGACAGCTTTTGTTTAAAGAGGTGAGAGACAGGAAGAAGCCATGCTAGTAATATAACCTGTGGTTTGCAACCAGACAGCTGGCTAACAGATTGCTTCATAATAGAAAGTTTATGGGCTCTTATGAACCTCATTTCCTTTTTCTTATAGGAAATCTGAATTCATTTGACTAGCTAAACACCTGCGGTTGGACCAACCTTCTGCAGGAGCAGAATTCTGTGAAAGTAATGTTCAAGGAGAGATGTCACAGGAGTAAGACTCCAGAAAACAGGCCACATCAGGGAACAGCTAGAGTGAAAGAAAGATGGGGGAGACTTTGCTAACATCTGCTAGCAGAGGCTCCATCTTTGGAAAATGCCAAAGGCTCAAGAAGCACCAGCACTGGTGACAGAATATTAAATTAATGTCTTACTCCGTCAGTCAAAAACAAACTGGGAATGGGGGTTGAGGGCACAAGAAAACTAGTAATAGCTACACAGTATGCATTTCTAGGGATGTCCACGGCCAGATATGTCAAAGACTGGTAAAAGAAAGCCTGAATTTCCTATTAGAAGACTCTTGGTAGCACTGAATTTGGGAGGACAGGACTTGCATCTAAGATGCAATCGAATTCTGGGCTGCATCAAAAGAAGTGTGGCAGCAGGTTGAAAGAGGTGATTCTCCCCCTCTGCTCTCCTGAGACCCCACCTGGAATACTGCACACAGTTCTGGTGCCCTCAACATAAGAAGGACATGGAACTGTTGGAGCAAGTCCAGAGGAGGCCACAAAGTTGATAAGAGGACTGGAGCATCTCCTCTGAGGACAGGCTGAGGGAGTTGGGGCTGTTCAGCCTGGAGAAGAGAAGGTTGTGTGGAGACCTCAGAGTAACTTTTCAATCTCTGAAGGGCCTACAGGAGAGCCAGAGAAGGACTCTGTGTTAGGAACTGCAGTGACAGGACAAGGGGTAATGGGTTCAAACTGAAGGAGGGGAAGTCTAGGTTAGATATAAGGAAAAAGCTTTTTCTTGTGAGGGTGGTGAGACACTGGCACAGGTTGCCCAGGGAGGCTGTGGCTGCCCCAACCCTGGCAGTGTTCACAGCCAGGTTGGATGAGCCTTGAGCAACCTGCTCTGGTGGGAGGTGTCCCTGCCCAGGGCAGGGGTTGGGACTAGATGATTTGTAAGGTCCATTCCAACCTCTAAACTTCTATGATTCTATGTCCCCCAGAATCTAACAACATTATAACATTTCATGATGAGAAGCCCAACATCCAATTGCAGGTAACAGAGATTATCTGAGTCTGTCCAAGCACAGTTCAGTACTTCATGCTTCTTTCATAAAACCAGCAATATTTAGATGGCATTGCAATGGATGCCTAAGTGAAAATGCTGAGGAAAACATGAGGTGATGATTTGAGCAGCAAAAGGAAAATTTCATGGCAACAGCAGCCAAGAGGTAAGGTGGTGTAGGGTTTGGAAATCCACCAGGGCCTGCCAAGGATCTGACCTGGAATAGTGACAGGAATCAAGGAGCACTACCCTGGTACCAGACTGGATCTCAGTAAGGATTAATAGAAGCTACCTCTACCACAGCTAGTGATTAATACAGCATGCCAAAGATCACTGGCAGAGCTTATTCTCATACTGTTGGCTTGAGTTGAGTCCTGTCCAGAAGCTTTCAAGATCTAAACAATGCCCTAAAAAGTACCCTCAATCAGCTAGAAAGTTGTATATGTTAGAGATTATGTTGAAGCAGCATCTGGAAAGAGAACTGGGAAATTCTAACCTGCTGTTGTGATAGAGATCTAGAGAGCTGCCTTAACTCATAAATTCAGGAGAGTAAAGATGGGCCCAGCAGGAAACTTACTCCCTGGGGTGTGCGTTGGAGTGGGGAGAAGAGAGATCTCAGATTGGAAACAGGAATGTGATCTAAAAACAGACATACAGTCCAAATATCAAGCAGCAGGTGAAGTGCTGATGAAGTTCATCAGAGAGAAGGTATTTCACATCCCCTCTCCACAGAAGACCTTATAAAGTCAATGTTATATCCCAAACAGACTGCAAAATAGAAGGAAAATCTCTGTCACCCTAAAACTTCTGTTGATGAGTATCCAGTTTAACAAGTCTGAATCAAGCAAAATTAATTACTTCATTTTCAAATCACCTTCTGTCCATCATAAGAACTGTCAGGACTAGCAAATGCTAGTGGCAGGTGTGCTTAGCACTAAGAAAAGATTGTTGAGAAGCCAGTTTTACCTGGATAGCTGCAGTTTCTAGGGATGAATAATACTGCAGTGATTTAACTGAAACAGACTAGGGACAAATTTAAACTAAACTGAAAGAAACTGCACACACCAAAATAAAAGCATCTTTGCCAAGAAAAGCACCAATGTATGCTAAATTGGCTTAAAACACTTTACTTGTCCAATCCCATGCCAGTTTCTTTGAGTGGCTCTGGAATTTTTGAAGCAGATGATGTAGTGATTGCATTCACCCAGAAAAGGATGTAGCTTATACCCAAACAAAAACATTTTACAGGAACATTTATCTTTGCAGCTCTTCTTCTGTCTATACAGATGAAGAATTAAAGCACAGAGAATATGCAATTTGCCAGGGTGATACAGATATCTGTGGCAGATACAGAAGCTGGATGAGTCTCAGTTTAAAGCATCGGATTAGCTAGGACTGGCAACCAGGGAAATATGAAGGCCAAGCAAATAATTGGATTTTCTAAGGGTTAGGAAGGTAAGCAGGTAAAGGAAACTATTCTTAGATAACATCTGGCCTCCTACCAAACATCTGGGAGCAGACTGTTTCATCTTGGAAAGTTTACAAGGCTTGCATGAACGTAAATCTTTTTTTTTTCCTTTTCTGATTCTTTATCCACTTAAGGACTCATGATACTGATACTGCCACACACTACCATCACTGTGTTCTGAAGGTGTTCAGCCTCTCCACAGAACCCCAACAGCTCAGCCAGTCACTGTGGTGAAAGCAGCAGAGGAAGCAGATTAAGGGAGGTTGGCAGAGCTGGTCAGACATGAGCCTGCTCTCAGACACCCATGCCTGCATGTCTGCCTGTGCCTTCAGCACATCTATTAAACACAGCACATCTGTCTCTTGCAGAACAGCTTAAATCAGCATTTAATTCAAAACCATCAAAAAATTAGACCAACACCTGAAGTTGCCACCTCTGGTGCTCTATGTACATCCCTTCATCTTTAGTTCTCCAGTTGGTAAGGCCAGAGGCAATATAAAAATACTGCTCTTGCTACTCCCATGTTGTCCCTTTCCCGTCCTCCTCAAAGAGAATTCTTTCATCATGCACTGGGCCAAAATAATCAAATGCTGAAGCAAGAGCAAAGCCAGCTAATCCTGCACATAGGGAATCCATGAGGAGGCAAATGGGGAGACAGAAGAGAACTGAAAAACAACACGAATAGCAGGAAAAAGGTACAGCTGGGGCAAGGGAGAAAATAAGAATGATTTGAGGAAGACAACACAGTTGAAGGGTGCACTAGAGAACAGCTACCAACACTGAGGGAGATAGACAGAGGAAAAGAAGCTACAGTCAGACCAATATATCAGAGGCAAGTGTAAGAAAAGATATTCCCATTAGCAGGTCTGGGCAGGGGAGGAATGCAAATGGCAGATCTTAATTCAAGATCTCAGTCTTGGTTTTGAAAGCTTCCACTCCTACTTCACACTGGCTGCACATTACCTTCCACTGCTTTGACCTTCTCCTCCATCTCTCTCTTCCTCTCCTCCTTTAGCAGCTGTTCCTGCTCCCTCTTCTGCACTGCTATAAGAATTTGGCGCTCCTCCTCCTCCTCTCTCCGCCTCTGTTTCTCCATTGAGCTGAGCACATTTGGGTTCACCTGTGACAGAACAGTGCACCAAAAACTGTAATGCATTGGCTTATTGAGGTCTGAGCAGAGGCAGGTTTACTTTGAGCAAGTATTAAAACATACCTACAATGAATGGCTGGGAGGAAAACAAAGGGGGGGAAAAGGATTCGCACATACAAATTCTTAGATGAAAAGCAACATGTAAAGGAAAGTTATTTGTCAAGCAATGAAATCCTACTGACACAGGGACAATAGAAGGAGAAGCGATGGGTTAGACAAGCTGCCATTCTGTGAGGGATGCACCATGTGTATTTTTCTTCCCTTCTGGGCAAAGGATTCAAGCTGTTGACACCCCTACAGAACACCTCTACCTCTTCCAGCTAGCAGAGCTCCGAGTGGCAAGTGTGAGCAGAAAGGACTACTTTGCCAAACATGGCTCTGCTGTAAAACACAGAGTACTTCACTAGGAAGAGAGACTGGTACAGCCTTGCACCGAGGTATTGTTTGAAATGTTTTCCTTTCCCGTTCACATTTTCTGTGTGCTAATCTCTCCGAACCAGCTCTCGTTTGTTTGTTTGGACAGTGTTCCTGCTG